CAGAAGCAAACAAACACTCATTTTATGCAATCAGCGGTGGAGTCTAATCAGCTCTTTATATGAAAATGAGTTAAATTCTTGTGGATTTGGAGGCTGAGACAGTAGGAGAGCAGTGCAGGAATGTGTCCAGCAGAGAGGACAGAACAAAGTCACACACACACACACACACAGCACCCTCGTTAAATTAAACATCTAAAGGTAAAGGTGAGGTTGGTGATCCTGCAAAAAGCAGCAAGAGGAAGCTCGACTTTGAAAGTAGACAACCAAAGAAATATCACCCTTTCATCCTTACTTCTCTCCAAAGCCACTTCTCCAAAACACTAAAACACTGCCTGACTACTACAGATTTTAGAAAAATAACAAATGCCCTCCAAACCAAAACAAAACCGATAATTACATGTCCAGCAGATACATGGCCACCATGGCATCGCCTTAAAGCCCCTTTCATTCCCTCAGTTGTTGCCATCGTTCAAAACCCACACCAGTGTTAATTCTGGGTTTACTTCTTGCAGCATCCAACTTCTTTTTAGTTGTAACTTTCTCAAATACAGTGTTACCCGCCCAGACCTGCAGCCCTGATCCATAGTTGGGGAACCTCTGGTTTATGGCTAAATTGCTTTAGCCCTGGCTGGCAGTCGTAACTGGCCTTAGAAGTCTGGGCGGGGAGAAGTGAAGAGGGAGGCCAGCTAACTCTGTTCAAAACACAGGCTTGTAACACGGACACTGCATGTGGCCTTTGATGCCCAGTTAACTGCATTACAATCCCATCTATACACTTAGAGCTGCCTGCTGTCTGGCTGCATGTAAAAGGAGTCTGTTCCCGGCAATGATCTTCTTGCTCTCACACTGCACACACAGGTCACAGCTTCTGGCAACAACCACATTTCCTATAAGGCTCTATGTCCTCTTGGGACAAGTAAAATTACTGGTCAGACGTTTTTCAGTCCTGCTGCTGCCACAGATGATGGATCTCTTTCTTTATGTTGTCAATGCATTTAATGTATTCATTGCCATAAGGATGAAAAGAGAATTTCAAGATAAGTAACAAAAAATGCTTCTGCAAAGAATCACCAACCCTACTTTTAAATTGTCAACTGTGATATTATGCAATCCCAAACTTGCTGTTCTTGGGAGAGGGATGTGAAATCATTTCATTTTAACAGAGGGTTAGGTTAGACACCACTTTATTATGTTGTGTAGGAAGGTACAGACATTCAGTCAGTTACACATTATATTCAGTAGGAATGGTGGCAGTGCTGAGTTTATCACAGAAGGTTGTACGGGAATTTGCACAGCCTCCTGTTATATCTTTTTTCATTACAAATCTCATAGTAAAAATCACAAAGTAAATCTCATGAAAATAAAATCTGTCTCTAAACTCACTACTCTTTTATGGTGATCGTACATTTTACAGTAGAAACATTGCATTATTATTAAGTACTTGGTGGTATTGGTGCATCCCCATTCTAAACCACCAATGTCAAAATATTTTGTCTGAGGATTTTGAATACTGGACCCAAATGCAGAAACCAAACAGGAATCTTAGGAAAGGTTTCTCCAGGTTAAACTCTCAGTTCATCAGAAATAGAGTAAATCTCAAGCAAGTACACAATGTTCAAAACAAAAGATTGGAATCCAAACAAGGTTCTCTTTTAACAAAGTCTTCCAAAGGCTGGCTGAAGTCTTAATAACAAAGTGCTTTAGCAAAAGCACATGTCAGGAAACATTATCCTTTACAAGAAAACATGAAGCAGGCTAAAAGGCAAAAAAAATGTGTCTGGATTTGGTCTGGGCGTCAAAGCATGGAGACAGATGAGACCATTTGGCAACTGGACAAAGCAAAGCAAAGGTGTATAAAAGGAAGACAGCTGATGAACAACTGGGGAACAAGTGAGCACTGTTGGGAAAGAAAACAAGGGGAAGGGAGGGCTGGACCTAAGGGGCAGATAGGGAACAACATAAGGTGTGTTGACAGGAAGTGCAACAAGAAAATATAAGCATGAAATAGGAAGTGATGACACTTTTGCCACAAGAGGAAAAGTCAAAGGATCGCAGGTGTCATTCAGATTCACCTTCTGGGGATCACAAATGTCTGTAAAAAGTGCTTTTATGTCAGTCCATTACATATTGATATACTGTATTTTAGTATGGACCAAAAAGGTGGACTTAACACAGGGTTTATGCAAATGTCATTCCATTTTGCTGAATACTACAGCCAATGTCAGTTCTTTTCTTCACACAGAAGTTAAAATAATTCAACACTGAACTAAACACAAAATGTCCTGTAGGGATCCAAAAAGGAACACAGTAAATATAGAAGGAAAGTCTTGTTTTGTGCTATTGGCTCCACAAAGGAACAGATTCTCACAAATAAAACATGTTTTTTTTAAGTTCAGTACAAAAGTACTATTTTTAAAAGAGAAAAAAGAAAACTGTACACTTTCCTTCCTTGTAAATATGTTGTGAGTGCAGAGTGAGTAGTCTCTCATGTTCATCTGTGTTCA